ATAAATATTAGTAGTGTCTCGACTGACGACTGACCTTCCTTTATTTTTTGTAAGGCTTCAAAGAGAGCACCCTGATTTTTCTTGATCAAGAACTGCAAAGTATCATCATGATCATGATCGTCGTCGTCATCATATTTTAGTATCGAAAAAAACAATTATCCGCAGCAGGATAGGAAAAATAAACGAAAATAATGAAGAATTTATTGACCTTTCCAGCATAATGAAGGAGTCTTTCAGCAACTAAAGAGATGGCCACAATTACAGTACAAACAAGTGCGACTACCCAAGTCGGCGTATACTTTAAAGATTCTCCCTCACCGCCACCTCCGGCCATCACTCTGCCTTTCTTTTTTCTCTACTTTCTCTTCAGTCTAATAGAGAAAAAAATGTATGATCAATTAAGGACATTTGAATTATTGATCAGTGAATTTTATGTATGTATTTGATTGAGTTGACGGAGACTTGGTTAAATTCCTTCAAAAATTTGATTGAAATTTAGCTTTGATTAAGAAGGTTCCACCAATTCATCAAGTGGTATATTAAGAATTCGTATTGTGGAATGAATTGGTTGGTGGCAGGCAGGCAAGTTTACAAGGTTGTAATATTCTATGTTGACCTTTCTACACAAAGAGACGCGAGAAGGAGCTTCCGGATTGGCCTACACGGGATCAAATGAATAAAAAAAGATAAAGAAATAGACTGAATTGTTGGAAAATGATTGGATTTTTTGTTTTAAATTTTCAAATTGTCCAATCATGTGTCGACACATATCTCATCTGAATTTGAACATAGATGTGTAGCATAATTTTTAATTAATTTCTCTTCAACGTTTTTCTTATACCAAATCATGAGTTACTTAGCCCCCGTTTGGCCCCATTCTCTTTATCATTCTTTTCCTCTTTCTTATTTTTAACCACACAATTTTTCATAAAATAATATTATATGTAAATAGAAAACTTTCCATTCTTTTTCAACTACACAATTTTCAAAAAAATACTATTCCAACCAAAATTTGAAAAGAATGAGGGCTAAACGGGGGTTAATTGATATTTACTTATATAATAACTTAAGGTAAAGTGGAATACTAAACTCGTTGCTCTTTGGACTCATCACTCGACGTCTACGTTTAACTCAATTTTGTTGGAATTTTTCCGTCTAGCGACAAAATTGATGGGCCCTTCTGATTTATAAACATGTTGAGCCGTAGTTTAAACATACTTTAAAGCAGGGACAAAGTTAGGGGAGATTAGCCCCCGTTTGAGCCCATTAATTTTTATTCCACTACATTCTATTTTTCTTTCTCCTATTTTCAACCATACGATTTTTCATAAAATAATATTACACATAAATCGAAAATTTTTCCTTCTTTTTCAAATACTCATTTTTCAAAAAAAAATTATTCCGTTCATTTTCATTTCCAAAAAATACGGGTCAAACGGGGGCTAAAGAGTCATTGCACTAGGCCAATTATAATATTGATAGAACCATTTTTTATTAATTACATTACGTTTTAATTACAATGAATATTTTTTTTATTTTTGCTTATTTTCGTGCTTACATCCTCAACTTTTCTTGTCATATTTTTATTTACGAGCTTTTATTGATTAGCACATTATGATAGGCACATGATCTAAGAGGAAGAGTAAAAAGACTCATTTGTCCCTTATATTTTTAGATAAAGCTAAGATAAAACGACAAATATAAGATTTTACAAAGTATTTTTCCCATGCTAACAAATACTTGGACATAAATAGACATCATAGATAGAATATGTTAATTAATTGAAGGTTAAATATAAAAAAAAGCATGAAGAAAAGTTGGGAATATAAATGCGAAAATAAGAAAAAGTTGGGGGCCTTCATTACAACTAATTTGTGGTTCAATTAAAAATAAAATAAATTGTGGTGTGAATATAACATTCCATATAAATTTTTATACGTACATAAAAAATTTACAAGTAACAAATTTGATTGAGGCCTGCTTCCTACGCCTTTGATTGTTTTAAAATTTCATCTTAAAATGTAAAATTATGAAACCTTGCTTAATAAAACTTTTTTGAAATTATAAGTCGGTCATTATTTTTAATATCATGTTTTAAATTCATATATTTTATTTACTTTTTAGTCATATATTTCAAGTAATTCATCCACTTATAATCTCAGAAAGCTTGATGCCTTTGTCAAACAGGAGCTATGAAAAGCAATTCAAATCTTTCTATGTTAAATCAAGTGATATTTATTCTTGAGAAGGTATCATTCTTGATTGAAATTTAGAATAATGCAGTGTGAAATGGGAAATGTTTTCGTTGGTGAAATGTGGAATATAATTCTAGTCTTTGACAAATTAATACATATTCCAATCAATCCATTAATGTTTTTCATATTATTCACATCATTCTTTTAGTACCATGTTTGGTGCATTTATAAGAATGTGAATTAAGCGATGGCAGAGACCATTCGTGCATGTTGGTTGGCGACTATAATGATTTATGGTCGAACATATTTTTCATTCACACATTTTGTAAAACTATAACCATTGTCAACTTATGAACCACAGTTTCTATAGGATTCATAATTTGTAATCACTTAAATCGTAAATAATCACCAAACAAACATGTATATAAAAGGCTCAAGTTTGACTTTGACATAGTTTAGGTCTACATGTCCAATTTAGAAAAACGATATGTGTGTGTGTAAAGATTGAACTGACTTTGGAGAGAAACTCGAAGCTCGCATGTTTGAAAACTGTGTGTAAATTATAAACGTATAAGATTGAAAGGTGAATAAATTAGTAGTACCTGTGGATCCCACGAAACATATGGAGAAAAGTGATTTGACGGATTATAAATAGTTTTTAACATTAGACAGACGTTATTGCACTTGTTTTTAGAGAAATTCGGCTTATCAATTTTTCGTCATTCTAGTTAAATTATTGAGTCTTGTTATTCATGGTTCACGCTTTCATTGGGTCAAAGTTCGTGTAGAATTGGTTAATATAGCCGGACTTTAGCTTCTCAAAACTTTTTCCCACTAAAAATAAATAAATTAATGACCCCAAAAAAAAAATAAAAAAAATCCTTTTCTGTAATCCTCATTTAAAGGGATTTAGGAACTTGAATGTTTCTACTAGTAAAATTTACAAATTCCATTTACATAATTAATTAAGATGGTAGTGAGTGTACAATTAAGAATAAAATATCAAAGTGACTTGGTCTTATAACAAATATCCTTTGTATTTTTTTTTATTTTTTATTTTTGGAAAAACAATTTGAACAGAGAAAATGTGTGCATTAGACGTACATTTTACTTTTTCTGGGTTTCGATTTGGTTAGATGGGTGTATATAGTTTATAACAAGTTTCTTAATCTCCTCTTTTGATAGAATGTGTCCCATTACATTATCACTCTACTAAGATGAACCAAATCATGAGTTTAATTGTAAATTAAGTGATTCTTTAGTTAAGCACCGGAACACGTTCTCTTCGAATTTTTCAATTGGATTTGGTTATGTAATGTAATATCGGGTAGATGATGTATTTTAACTCTTTGAAAAGGTGCGTTAACATCTATATAGAGAGATCGATGTTTCGTAAATCTACCATCTTTCATCTACCCTTTTCTCGTGTATTGTTGATTTTCTTTTTCCCCCCTTTCTTCAAAACTATTTTTTGTTTTCAGAGTACTGCAGACTCGATGAACAAAGACCAATAAATATTCTTATTCATTTAGGCCATGTTTGATTGGCTTAGATTTTCCATGGAAAATGGAAAATAAATTCTATTTTTCATCTTTTATGTGTTTGATGGCACAAATTTGGCATGGAATTCCTTTTCCATCTTTTGTTGCCACATAAGTGATTTTCAATTCCAACCAAAATGATGGGAATTGAACCTTTTGACGTATTTTTTTATTTTTTATTTTTTTATTTTTCAATTTAAACAAATTTTAAGAATTATTGTAATAAATTTCATCTCTTTAATTGACAATTTTCATGTAAAATAAATACAAACGAACACCAAAAGATAGATGATTTTCTTGATTTTTTTTTGTGGCGATAGAAACAAATTTCATTCCCAATAACATTAAATTTTATCCATTTAATTGACAATTTTCATATAAAACAAAGTCAAACGAAAACTAAAAAAAACACTTTTATTTCAACATTTTCCACGTAGAAAATTATATCAATCAAACACAATAATTTACAATTCCTAGGAAAATAATTTTTAGGCAATTTAATTCCCTAGAATTTATTTTCTTTTCACCCAAATTTCATTTTTGCAATCAAACGGACAGACCCTTATTGTGTTCGTTTTGTTGTCCTTAGGCCTTGAGCATAGATATCAAATTAAAAAGAACCCTGTCAGGCCTCACACATGTGGGGCAATTTAATTTATTTTTTTTAATACATATGGGACCCCTACACAATTAAAGGCCATGTGAAAACCCTTTATTTGAAAATGAGTGGACAGACAATCCAAACAAACCTCCAAGATACAATGGAATCAAAGTAAATATTAAAGGGACAAATGAAGTCTTAAGAATGACAATATCTCAGACCTTGAAATTTCTTACGATTGTTTCATGCCACTGTAAAGGAATCATTATACCAACAATCTTAAGATTTTATTTCTCGAAAATTACTTAGAGATTTCCTGGTGATTTTGCAAAATTTAAAAGGTTCCACGGGGCTTTCGTAGATAGCAAGACAAGTCACATTTCCTACTCGCTAGATTGTCACAACCACGATGAAGCCCGAGGAGACTGAAGATAAACCATTGACGAATACAAGGGAAAATAACGCAAATATGATCAACTCCCCGACTCTTGGTTTTTATTTTATTTTATTTTTCATTTTTTTATTTTTAAATTTAAATTTAAATTTAAATTATATTTAAAATATAAATAAATAAATGAAAATATTTTAACCCAATCCCTATCCACCAGCAGTTGCTAAAGGCCGACTGAATAGGAGATTTTGCTAACAAGCACTTGGCCAAGATTGTCCTGTTAAATATCCCATATCTTAAATATTGGTCGGGTATTTTCGAACAAAAATTATGGACTTCAGCCTCCTTACGTTGCTACTACAAAACCAGCTCGAGTACGAATCACAAAAGGAAAACAGTGGATAGAGCTTAAGCAAGTTTTGATTTGATTAATGTAAAAACATCCGACATACGATCATTTTGTAAATATCAATCCAAGACTGAAACCTTCCATCAATAATCATCACCTCTGGATACCACTTCTTTGCAAGTCGGACGAAGTAGAATTGTATGCTCAAACTGCGATACATAGCTGCCCTTAATGTCACACAGAGGAGGATAAGGCTGCCAGAAATCAAACAAAACGCTGTCAATATTTATTCAGTTTGAAGACCCGTATTGTAATGGTCGATCCAACACACAAGTTTCTGCATTCTAACAGTCCATATATTGAATATGAAGTACACCTTTGACGGCTTCAGCAAATTCAAATGTGTAGCACATTGTAATAGCACAAAAGTTTCAAGAATTTTCATCAAGTGATGTGGAACATAACTTGAACATGAGGATGGACCTATTTCGTAAGCGAATCTTCAACACAAGGCCCAAATGAATAGTGCTTGGGGTGGATCCTTGAGCCTTATTTTTGGTGATATAGGGTTTAATTGTGCCTCTCCTATCAGCTATAATTTTTGGGGAAAGTGAGTGCATCTCCCTACATCAAATTGGGGAGGTCTTGTGTTCGATTCTCTATGAGAAGAATGAAGCACAACATCGCTTGAACATGAGAACTGGCCAATTCGTAAGAGAATCTTTGAGGCCCAAACATATAGTGCTTGGGTGGATTCCTGAGCTTGATCCTAAGTGATAAAAGGTTTTGATTGTGCATCTCTAATCGGCCAGCTATAGTTTTTGGGAAAAGTGATTGCATCTCCATATGTCATTAAGCCTCTACTCGATCTAAGCTTTCTATTGTCTGGTTCAAGATACTACAAGTTGAAAAAGCTCATGATAGCTGGATTTATGCAAATCAAGATCATAGGTTCAAGCATAGGTAAAAAATAAAAAATAAAAAAAATTAATTGTTCCCTTCTTCAGGCCGATTTTCACTTTGCAGTCTCATCATATCAGTCAATATTTTCATATTAATATTTATACGTAGTATTTCCGATTGAAGCAATTTAGAAGCAATCACGCATCAAGCAACTGTTAATGTACATGTAGGTAGTGTGTGGTAAAGAATATATAAGCCCATGTTTAAGTCACATTCTAGGAAAAAAATGCATTATTCATGTCAAATCAATGAGAAATGCATGGTTAAAAAATAACGAAATTTTTTAGATTTGAGTGTAATATTATTTTATTGAAAAATATATGGTTGAAATGATGTCAAATCATTGTTGAAAATGTATTTTTTTTTTTAAATAATGTGGCTTAAACAAGCCCTAAATGTCCAGATTATCGACTTAGTTCCTTGTAGAACAAAACAGGAGAATACATACCTGAACAATACCAGCATCACACAAGTTCTTTAGTGCCATCAGATATTTAGTTTCTCCAAGGCGGTCTAGATAACGTCTGCAGAAAGCCAATGTAGAGAAATTCTTATTAATTGTTGCTAATAGCTGTTTTGCTCTAGGTAACCGCAGTGGAACGTGACCAGCATCAAAATTCTTCATATAATGGCTGCATTCAAGATCTTCTCTGACGTATCCCTTCCCTGCATACAACAAAAGGTAAGCAAAAAATTACACTTTGCACATCAGGCCTAACCGTAGCTATCAGATTCATCAGAAAATGTCACCCTCTATGGAAAGAAGAGGTTACCCGTGGATCCAAAGGTCTCGATTGCATAAAATTCACCCTCTTCCATTTTTGTTTGCTCTCCTCCTTTCACAATAGGAACAGATTTCCCAGCATGGATTTGATAATTTCCAATGCTATGCCCATTTAGATTTCGGATACTTTTAACTGCCAGAGGCGCAGAACAGATAATTAGTTGAGCTTGTAAGTTGATCGCATGAAGGCATTTAAAAGTTAATAAAACATTTCAAAATCCTATAACTGAACGTTACTATGTTATCAGGACCATAAAGATAGCATAAGAAGGGAAGCATCACATTTTTTATCTACAGTCAGCAATTAATATTTCCTACGTTTGGTTATCAATTTGTTTCTTACTAGCTTTGAAATTCTAATGACCGAGCAGACCTTCAGTTTTGGCACAATAAGACATTTATTGATCTCCAAATATCTAATCATAGAACTTAAACTAGGGTCAACCTGTCTGACAATATCAACAAATGACCACCATCTGACACCACAAAACTTAAGAAAGATCGTCCTGAAATCCATATGATCTGACATTTTAGCGAGCATCAAATTTCAATTTCACAGCTGATAACAGCAACAAAAGAATAGCGCAGAGAGAGAGAGAGAGGATAACGACACCACTTGACTGATTAGATGTCCACTATCCATAGAAGAGTAGTTATTTAGCATGTGAATTGCCTGCTCTGACAAAAACAAGCAATTATTTTGGTAAGCATTAAACACCAAATTTGCAATTAGATTTCATCGTTTTATTTCCTGTGGCTTCTATTTGCCAAGAAAAATTGTGGAGACACATTTTCAGAAAATCAACTTGAATAACTACAACGCCTTTGAATCACATTCCCCCTCCAAGCAAAAAAAAAAACAACACACCTATGCACCAGCATCATACGTAAAACATCATAACAAACCAGAAATGCATCTCATAAAAGCTATTTAATTTTAGCCAAGGGCTATACCTTGGAACACCTTTCCATTGATTTCAACCTCATATGATTCCATGACCTCTTGAATTGCAGAACCTATGTCGCCTAGGCGCACATCAATCCCAGCTTCCTGTTTCAAAACAAATTGTCATCAACTGCTTCCACTTGTTCACTAGAAGTCTCAGCCAAATAATTTCACACTTCAGTCTGAATTTCAGTTCTTAAAAAATCGTGCTTTTGCGAATAAATTTAGAGCCCGTTTGGTGCTGATTATGAAAAATAATTTTTTAACCGTTAGCTTGAAAAGTGGGTACCACCTATGAGTGAAAAGATAAAAAATGACGGCTGACTATGTTAGGTAACAGTAAAAAAATTGATTTTTTGGCTTGAAAAATCAGAACCAAACAGGGGCTTAGTAACCCACCTTGATTCCCGTATTGGTAGCTTCACGCGAGGCCTCAAGCAGTGGACTAAACATGGGGTTGAATGCCACAGTAAATGCACAATCCACTATATGCCCTGCAAATAAAGTGTTGCAAATATTTGAGACAATGAGACAATAGAAACAAGAAGATAAGAATATGGTCTAATAAGAGTCTTCCAGAAACCTGAGATTGTAGTACAGTAAATGAGTTGCTATATTACCATCAATATGAGTTCCAAAGTCCAGTTTCATCACATCATCATACTGAAGGACAGTTTTATCCCCAGAATTCGGGGTCCAATGGGCAGCAACCCTTCAATAAAGAACAGGCAGGAAGCAGACAGATCAGAGTAGAATTCTTAAGGGGGTGAAACAATGGAATCGAAAAGAAACTTAAACCTCAAAAATCAAAATAGTGTATATTGGTTTCTAAACTAGTTGTCCAGAATTGCCAAAATGAAATGAGTAGCCACATGTGCAATTAAGCAATACCAGTTCAATGAGCATCCTGTAGGAAATGCAATACCAGCCTGAAGACCGTTCTCAGATATTAATTTACGAACTGTGTTCTCCAAGGTCTCACACAGGTCAATCATCAACATTCCAGGCTTCAAAATTTGCTTGATGTACTTCCGAACCTGATAATAATATACATAATTTAGAAGATTCCAATGAAAGTCCAGAATGAACTTCTCAAACAAGCATACTATATGCTGATGCCAACACAAGCATATTCAAGGACGTTAAGCTAAACAGCAACCTGACGGTGGACCTCTGCTGCTCGGCGAACAGAATTATAGATTGGTTTTTCCAGTCGCTCCAATTCCCTCTTTTCCTCAGATGTAGTCCTCCACAAGTTACTATATTGAACCATATTTTATAAAATAACCATTTAGATTTCCAGCAATACTAGACAAGAGAAAGATTATACGGACCATAAACTAGGAAATCTTACGAATTCAAAAGAAAACAAGAGATGTATTGCACTCAAATGTTATATGATGCCATAGCAAACTGTAAAGAACTCAACTCCAACAAAGTTGGAAGTTTCCAAAGCACATATGGTATCATTTAAAGCCTTTCTTTCAAGTATATTATCACAAAGAACAGCATAAACAAGAGACAAAAGATTCAAATTTATCCAACTGGGTCTCCAATATCCAAGTCTTGTTGAAACAACTATGAGAATAGTGGAGATCAGTCACCTCCTTCACAGCTCCTCCTAGTTGACCAATCTAAGCCCTGTTTGGCCTCCATTTCTTACAACTCATTTGTTCTCAAATTCATTTTCAACCTCATTTCATGGAACCCACAACTTTTATCAACTTTTAAACTACACATTTCATCAACTTTTATCAATATTTACTAAAATTAATTTTTTTATCGTAGCCAAAAGGGGGCAAAAAGACCTTCTCTACATGATTGAAACTGTATTAAGTAGTTGCTACCAGAGCAAAAGCTTCTTACATTCATTGCCTGCATCTCATTTCCCTCACATACATGATAACACAAGCTGAAAACAGCTCCTTTTCCACATTCCAACTGTTTAGTCTCCTCAAAGTATTCACCCTCAATGCCTCCAACTAAAAATGAATATCAATACTAAGTGAATTTGAAACGGGAAATAAAAGGCACCCAGTAGTTTCTCTGCAATACATTTTATCTTTCATTCAATTTATGCAACCTACCTAAGAATAGCACCATAAAAAATCTACACTGTGTACTTCTTTAAAAAACGATAAATGTATCATATCCCCATTCGACCTGTCATGTAACAAAGGAAAATTACATAAACATACTCGTCTGCATATTGTTGAATTTCACCCTCTGGAAACTCGCCAGATGGAAAAAGTTCAGTCACAGGAATAGATGGAGGATCAGTTTGCTGAGGCGGTTCTTTTTTCTTCCTGCAGATTAGAACGAACAGATGTAAGTTAACTTCAAGCCTCATATAAAGAGAAGGACAAGGCAAGTATGTAAAAGAGTATGTCTCACTTGCTTTTACTTTTCCGCTTCTTCTTTTTTGCAGCTTCTGAACATTCCAGATGCATGCAATAAATGAGTCATAAAAAAAAAAAATGAAAGAAAGAAAGAAAGAAAAGCAAAACCTTAACAAAATGATGTCCAGACCAAGAAAAAACATTTTAACAATAAATGATTGGAATTCATAATAATCCTTGAACATCGGAAAACATTAAGTAAAACAGAAAATAAGACAATATAAACACCATCAATGTTTTTGAACAGCACATCACAATAGCACAAATTAAATTACATCACATATGAACATGAATGCAAAACATGACCATCAAAAGCTACAGTTTTACAGGCAACTGCCCAATTTTGGATGGTCCATTCTCGGGCTATCTGCACCACAATCAATGCCATCTTTCTCTAGGCATTTGTTAAATGAGATTCAACACAACAGAATGAGAATATATATAATCCCAATGCTACAGCAAAAGGAGAAGAAAGAAGCAAAAAAGGGAAATAGAAAAATGTTTCATCAAAATAGAATTGACTATTATTAAGATTACTACTTCCTTTTCCATCTAATATAAGCCATCAAAAGAGTCACTCTTGCAAATCAGGAACAATAAGATAGAACAAGGGTAAGATTCCAATATATTTCATCAAGAGGAAAGTTAACATGGAGCGGCAGATAGTTTCCCTGTGTGCCAGCACTTTTAAATCACTACCATTTACTCTCTCTAATAGAGACATATTTGAGTTCACAAAACAATCTTCTCTAAATCATTAATATAGTAATTGACAAGTCATATGATCGCTCCTACAACCATGACTGCCATCACACAAACAAAACATGAACCCACCTAAAAAAGCTTGAAAACCAGATCCTTTCTCCATGGGGGAACTATTATTGAGTACATATCAGAAGAAAGAAGGGTTTTACAGAACAGAGAAGAGGTAGTCCAATGACAAGCCAAAACCAGATGTGATACTTTGTGATAAGTATTGCATATACAGTCCCAAAGTTACTGGTATGATCTCTAAGTATGGTCTCAGAGGGATAATCCTGGTCTTTAGAGGAGAAGGTTTTTTTTTTTTCCCCTCCTCTCCATACTTCCAGTTCAAATATTAACTCTAGAAAGCCTATGTTAGAAGCACGAGCCATTCCACAGTACTCAAGCTCAATCCTTCAACCTTCATACTGCAGGTGAAACACCAAATTAAGAAATTCAACATATAATATATTAATTCTTTAGCTAATTTAATTTATTTTTACTGGGACTAACATTGTAGGATAAAAATTTAAATAGAAAATACAATGAAAATCAAAGTAAAAAAGAGAAATTACATGCATACCTTACATTCATTTTTTTAAGTTGCCAACATTTTTTCAAACCATGTAGCTCCTAAAAGCATCTCCAATTGTGTTCTAAAATAGATCGAAATTGTGATTTAGATCTTTAAAATGGCCGGAATCATCTCCAATGCGGAGATGTAAAAGAGTTGCAAATTACATTTCCAGCAAGAACATCATTTTTTTTTTTTTTTAACATCTGCCTGTGGGTCCCACTTCACCCAAAAAGTTCTACCAATACACTTCATCCAACTTCTGCCAACCCACTAGGTATTCCAAAAAAAGTGGGCTCCATCCAAATTCCATCCAATGGCCCAACTTCACCACAATCTAGATATTCTATATAATTACTAGAACAGATCTGAGAGTCCATATTTCAACAACAAAAAACACACGGAGGTTATTAAAAAGCCGTTACATAAGGGCCCTTTTATATTTGCATTACATAGCATAATTTTTCTATATAGACGTATCATTTAAAGCATTTCCAATTCAGTTTGCCCTCAATTTTCACATAAAAATCTTGTTCTATATATTTCATTTGCTATTTTTGTAAGTATTTAATTATTTAGAAATGAAAGAGGGCAAAGGATCCAATAAATTCAAATTGCCAAATTTCGACATAGATGAAGACAAAGCTTTATGCAAAGCCTATATTGCGATAAGTGAAGATCCAATTATTGGCAACTCGCAACATCAACATTCCTTTTGGGAAAGGGTTCGTGTAGTGTTCTATGAAAAGTGCAAGAGCGAGAGAAATGTTAATAACTTCAAATGCCAATGGAATCACATTTGACCAAGATACAAAAGGTTTGGGGAACTTCTTCACGAAGCGGCCAACGCTAGCAAGAGTGGAACTAGTGGGCAAGACAAGGTGCCAATCTTTACCAAATTTTGTTGTTCATATTCTTTTTAAATTTAACTAAATTGTATTTCAATTTTATCATGCTCCCAGATAAGGCTAGCAGAAAGGATGTACCATGCAGAAAGTGGGGTTTTTTGTTTAGATCATTGTTGGCCAATTGTTAAGGATGCAATTAAGTTTAGAATTTTGATAGACACTCCTCCATCCAATACTACGTCGCCAACCATTCCTGTCAATTTAGAAGATGATGATAGGCTGGAAGTGGAAAGTGTGCCGAAAACTCGAAACTATCGTCCAAGGCTGAAGGGAAGGCTGCGAAAGAGGTTAAACATAAAGATAAAGAACACGGTGATAATAGTTCTCTAACATGTTGAAGCTGTCAATTCTTACGAGATGATATTGGCAAAAAAGAGGAGCATGAGATTATGATGGTTAAAACAAATGATATGACTCCAGAAAGAGCATCCTACTGGAAGCATGAACAAGAAATTTTTTTGAAGAAATTCTGTTCAAGGCGTGAAATTAAATTTAACAAAGATAATGATATCTATTGACCTGGTTTTCCTTCTGGATCTTATGATCAATGAGGTTGGGATCATCGTCTGTATTTTAAATTTTATAATATTAATACTCGTCTCCAGAAGAACCTCAAATCAAACCCACTTCAAGGAATAAATTTTTGCCTAGTTACCGTATATGCAAAAAAGTTACGGTATTTACATCATCATACCGTACATGCAACACATTACCGTTAATGCAAAGATGTCCTTACCATATATGCACAGCATGACATACTGTATATGCATGAGCATACCATTTATGCAAGAACATACCGTATATGTACATACCCAACCTCACCGTATGTCACCTTTTAAAGAAAATTTACTTTTAACTTGGCAAAAGACATAAGAAATTAACTTGGCTCATTTAATGTTGGGATGGGACGAATTTATGCTTTCTTAACCAAAGATAGAAGATATAAGACTGAAGACATTAACTTGACTCATTTAATGTTGAGATGAGAAGGATTTATGTCTTCCTAACCAAATTTTGAAATTTTTAGGTCAGTTTGTTCGTAATATATATATATATATATATAAAACACAATTCAACATGAAAAAAAATGAAATTTGTATATTGTAATTTACACCATTCTATTAGAGCAAGAATTGAATTTAGATCCACCGAGATGTAAATGGGAATGCAAAAGTAAATTTTGAAGATGCCAATTTACACCCAAATTTAGAACACGATTGGAGAATCTTTAAATAGAGCAGAATGCAGTGGCATCAATTAGAATCTTTAACAAAGAATCAAGTTCAGATATTTCATTGCAAATTTGAACAACTTTAAGATAGACAACTATTTTATCAGTACTGGGTCACACAAAATTTTCTTAGTTTGGGCCTTTCTCAATTAATCATTGTCCTTCCTTTCCAAGTCCAAGTAAAATCAGTTGACTTTCCCAAACACATACAAACACTTCTTTTTCTTAACTAAATTGCATATGAACTTCACCATACACCAAAAAGGGCATGAGCTTTATCCCATTTTCCATCAAAATCCTTAACAAACTCAAAAACCAGTATTGAAAAACGAAGCATACATCCAAAAAAAATTACCTTGTGGCTCATCCACTGTTAGGTCATCAATTTTATCCTCAACCTCTTCTTGCACAGCCTTCCCGTTTGCTTCGTTACTACAATTCGCGTGCTCGGACTTTCCGTCCTCTAGACGGATTTCCTCAGACAATCCTTCGGTCGCCATTTCAACAAAGGCTGTATAACCTAATATTATATGATTAATACACGCATGAATTGAATTAATCCACCCAATATAAATTCACGAAAAGCATGAAATTAGGGCTGCATTAAATTTTGAAATTTTTAGAAACCTGCAGAAGAATCGCACTAACTGTTAATAATAAAATTATTTATGAGCGATACGAAACCTTAAAGATGGAAAATGTTCGATAGTATTCAAATGGAAATCGTCCGTCTACGGTGGAAATTTTGGTGCGACTTTGAGTTTTGCAAGGGACTGTGGGAGAGGAGTAATTATGACATAATATTAGGGTTAATTATATGAATGGTGACTGAACTTTGCCCTATGTTACTACTTAGTCACTGAACTTAAAATTGTATCTCAATGGTCACTAACTTCATCAAATATTACTACTTCATAATCGAACTTTAAAATGTATCTCAATGGTCGCCGAACTTTGCACCATGTTACCCATCCATCATTCAAATGGAAAAATCCGTTAAATCCAACAAATGGTTTCAACTTGAATGACGAATGAGTAATATGGTGCAGAGTTCGATGACCATTGAGATACATTTTAAAGTTCGATTATGAAGTAGTAACATTTGACAAAATTTAGTGACCATTGAGTTACATTTTTTAAGTTCAGTGACTAAGTAGTAACATAGGGCAAAGTTCAGTGACTATTAAGATCTATTTTTAAATTGAATTATTAAGCCCCTGGGTCCTATTCTTTCCAAAAAAAAAAAAAAACATTCTTAAACTGCGTTTTGACATCATTCAATCACACATTCTTTAATAAAATAATATTACACGTAAATTTAAAATTTTTCCTTATTTTTTAACTACACATTTACCATCAATATACTATTCAAAAAATCATTTTATCCCTCAAAATGGGGATCAAATAAGGGCTAAACTTCTCAAATCGACCTCTTGGAAAGAAGAAATCAAAGAAAATGAAAAGAAAAAAGAGGAAACAGAAAATTAGAGACCTATAAATTAAATAAAAATAGAATTGTTGCTAATATTCATCCATCATGGTGAAAAAGTACGTTTGATTTTTTAGATCAACTGATATCAGTTTACCGTATCTCAAATTCTGTATAAATAGATTGGAATAGAAACAGTTGGAACACTAAAAGAAATTGACAAAGAAAAATTAAATAAAAGTACAAAAATGTTCGAATAGTGCCAATGTAACTGAGGTCGATTTGATTTTTCAATTGTGTTACTACTTAGTCACTGAACTTAAAAATGTAACTCAATGGTCACTGAACTTCGTCAAGTGTTATTACTTCATAATCGAACTTTAAAATATATCTCAATGGTCATCGAACTTTACACCGTGTTATCCATTCGTCACTCGAGTTGATACCGTTTGTTGGACTTTAACGGATTTTTCCATTTGAGTGACGGATGGGTAACATGGTGCAAAGTTCAGTAACTATTGAGATACATTTTAAAGTTCAATTATGAAGTAATATCACTTGACGAAGTTCAGTAACCACTGAGTTACATTTTTAAGTTCAGTGACTAAGTAGTAACATAGGGCAAAGCTTAGTGACCATTCACATAATTAACCCCATAATATTACTATAAATAGTGTGAAGAAATATGTTCACACATAAATGAGAACAATCCCGCGCCATAGGGCTCGAATTTTTTTGGCAAAGGGTGATCGACTTTCATAACGATAGGGCCCCCACTTTTTTATTCACGCGAAACCCGCAGCATCTGAGAGGATGTCAATCATTCGGATAAAAAAATTTCGAGCAAAGTAGCAAAATTTAAATGAGAAAACATTATCAATTGGACGGCACAAATTGACATAAATAGCACTAATCCAGGTATATTATTGTTACCAAAACTAGCGAAGAAAAAAAAATCTTAGTTGGCCTTCATGTAGTAGCTAAGGGTGTGTTTGATTTGCATTTCATTTTTCATTTTCAATTTTGAATTTATTTTGTGTTTTATATTTTGAGGGATTATTTTAGGATTGCAAAAAATGCGTTTAATTTGTTGATGAGTGTATTTCACAGTTTTCACTCATACGTTAGACATCATCTAAGCTTGAAATTAAGTTAATTCCTATGAGTTTTAGAATGTTTTAATATGTGTTTTGATGTTGTGATATATATTGATGAAATTGAATGAATAGGCAAAAATTGGCAAAATTAGAGAAAATTGCTAAATTGTAAGAGATCCAAAGTTTGGGGTACTAAAGTACAAATACTCAAACATTGTGTCGAACCTCACGATGAAAATTCGAAAGTGCTAGGAATCAATTGGATAAAGAAAAAGATGCCAAATGGATGGAATATAGTCAAAGTATAATCACGCATCAATTTTCAACCGAAAAAGTTATGAGACACATTTTCTACATAGAAATGTTCGAATTGGAAAATGATATCTGAAGCAAAGTCGTAGCCCTTTGAGTTAGTTTTCTAATGATCTTGAATTATCTCAATTGGATATCAGGAGAAAAGTTATGATAAAAATATTAAATGATGCACAGTCTCTTCTTTCCATCAGATGCGGGTGCCACGTCACCCACCATGCTGCAAAACATCAAAATTTGCAGCACCCTAGCGTTGCTACAGCGTGCCTCGGCACCATTTGTTCGGGTTTTTTTTTTTATATTTTTTTACTCCTTTCTTGATCCAACTCAACCATAATTCGTCCAAGACTCAAAAAATACTATAAATTCAAGATCAAAAACTTATTTTGTCCAAGAATTGAACCGGCAAAAACATAATAGAAAGGAGCAAAGGATACAATTGAATGAGGAATAAAAAGGAATAATTCAACCCTACAATTCAAACAAGCAAGATTCGACAATTCAACAAGGTAAAACATCATCAAAAATAAGGCAAAGAAGAACAAGAGAAGAAATTGAAGATCTACAAACGAGTTTTTCTATTATTTTCCCTATATTTTTTTATATAAATTTTAGTATTTTCCTGGATTATATCATGAACTAAATTCATATTTTAAAGTTTGATTGTAGCCAAAACTTGAGATTATGGTTGATTCTATTATAGTTAGGGTGTGTTTGATTACATTTATTTTCCATGAAAAATATCAGTTTTTCACCCAAATTCTTATTTGGGGTGTTTGATTGTTATTTTTTTTCATGACAAACATTTTCCAACTTTGAAAATATGTCTAATTTTCCTTATTTTTAAGGAAAATATTTTCCTTGGGTGAAAGTGATTTTTATTTTCCACAAAATAAGGAATACATTTTCATTTCTAGGTGATATTTTTTATGTCAATCAAACACACTCTTATTTCTATTTGACTTCCCCCATATGTTTAATTGTATCATTAAATTAATGTTTTCAATTAATTGGCCACTAATTGAATGAATAGATACTAGTTAAATCCCGCACTCGATAAAGGAAAATTTAGGCACGATCATAAGATTGGTACAACGTAGATTTTTGGGTTTCGAGAGAAATCATAGGATCTATGAAACTTACTCCATAAGAGAACCATAAACTTGATAAATCTTTGATTTTAATTCAGAATAGAGATATTGAGATTGAAATTTAAGATTAATTTCTAACTTGCACTTGAGAGAGTGAAAAGAAATGCATTAGGATTCTTGCTTGTTAAACATGGAAAAATTAACTAAAATAGTTAGACATAACTGAAGCATAATTAATAATAGGTCATTCCCTACACATTTCTTATATTGATTTATTCATATAAACTGCATTCCTTGAATTAGTCACAAAGATTACTCTTAGATTAGATAACACTATTGATTTCAAATTTCATTTATCTAGATAAAATAAAAGTACACAATTATAACACATAGTAGAAATTAATTATCAATTCTTGTTGGTTCGACATCCATATTTAATCTTATATTACAAAACCTAATATCGTACACTTGCGGTATAAATCACGTTATAAAAAAGCGTGACATTTGTTATTCGTAAAAACCGTTACTCAAAACCAAAAACTAAAAAACGCATTTAGTTTAAAAATTTTACAAATAGTTTTATGGCATTTTTTTAATTAATTTGATTATTTAGTAAAACATATCAACTTTTTCCGAATATGTGATCAAAAAAATTGAAATTTTAAAGTTGATAAAAAAAAATCATTGTAAGTTTATCTCCAATAATTGCATTGAAATCACCCATACATAATAAATTGAGAGAAAGAGAGATGGGTATTTGTATTTGGGTTTTGTGTGATTTTATTAATTATTTTAATTTGAGAAATTTTAAGTTCATTTCCTTATTTTGAGTTTTTTTTTTTTTGAAAATGTCAAAAAGTCATTTTGAGTGTTTTATTGTAAATTTCTTCTTATTTTCGAAAACGCATTTATGAAAATAATATACAAAGCACGTTTTGAGTGTTTTAGAAAATTAAAAATGGTCTTAAAATCGTAAACCAAATGCACTCTAATCTTTCATGTAATCTCCGCGTGGTATTGCTAAAAAAAAATTTATAAAATGAGAATTATAAAACTTTTTGGATCAAAATGGTAACAGGGATTAAATGGAAAATGTTTGTTATACATCATTATCTACAGAATCTTTTACAAATCAGTGAGGTGGCAAAAAGAAAGTGAAGGAATTTAATTTTTTTTTATTTGGTTGGTAAAATTTTGACTCACTCATATCTAGTTACATAATCTGTTGGTAAACAAATCTGTAAATTGTGGTGTACATACACCACAATCGAGGTTAAATATATATGTTGTCACAAAACTCACCCAAATATTTTTCAATTGTCATTGATTTTTTTGATTTTGATTTTTTTTTTTTGGAACGCTAAAATAGATTTGACTTTGATGATAGGGTAATTAGCACAAAACGTTCTTACATTTTAATGTTATTGTGCAAAACGTCCATACTTTTTATTTTTTGACATTTTCATCCCTATTTTCATATTTCATTGTGAAAAATGTCATTTTTTCAATAAAAAAATATAAAATGAAAAATATAACCTCTTATTTAAATAAAACAAAAAGGAAAAAAGGTAAGGACATTTTCCACAATAATATTGAAAGGTATGGATGTTTTCTGCCAATTACTTTTTTAATAATTTATTTGGATTCATTTGTATTTTTTTAAAAGTTTGGGAGTATAATTGCAATTTTCTTCTTTACTTTTTTTTTTCTTTTTCTTTTATTTAAATAGGAGGTTGTTTGTCATTTTAAGTTTTTATTGGAGAAAAATGACATTTCCCCCAATGAAAGATGAAAATAGGGTGAAAATGTCAAAAAATGAAGGTATGAACGTTTTGTGCTAATTACCCTTGATGATAAATGTTAAAGTACCAAAGCATTTAT